AAGTTTTTAAGGCTCCTGGGATGAACATTAACTGTGAAAGTAGTCACAGAAAGAACCAAGATGGAGGTTACACCAGAATCCAACTGTCAACCTCGTAAGTGGAGACACATAGGCCATCTCAAGGGACACAGGTGGTTGGCTCTGGAGCACAGAACCATGGGTATTTCAAAAGATGTAGATTGTCAATGTTTTATTTCCTCCTCTGAGTTTTTATGAAAGCTATACACACAGATCGTATTATTTTGAAAATATTAGTTAAATGAGGCACTAATCAATAAATGAGGCAGTCCACATCACCACACAGTGTTGATGTACCTGATGCCTGAAAGGACCCCGGGCATTCAGCAATGCACTCTTGTTGGTTGGATAAATGGGTGATTTTAAAGTCTTCAGGAGTACGTGGGGATGGTGGTACACACCTGTCAATCATCTCCTGGGGATGGTGGCACACACCTGTCAATCATCTCCTGGGGATGGTGATACACGCCTGTCAATCATCTCCTGGGGATGGTGGCACATGCCTGTCATGTCCTGGGGTTGGTAGCACACGCCTGTCAATCATCTCCTGGGGTTGGTGGCACATGCCTGTCATGTCCTGGGGTTGGTAGCACACGCCTGTCAGTCATCTCCTGGGGTTGGTGGTACATGCCTGTCATGTCCTGGGGTTGGTAGCACATGCCTGTCAGTCATCTCCTGGGGATGGTGGCACATGCCTGTCATGTCCTGGGGTTGGTGGCACATGTCTGTCAATCATCTCCTGGGGATGGTGGCACACACCTGTCAGTCATCTCCTGGGGTTGGTGGCACACGCCTGTCATCTCAGCACTAGGGAGGTGGAGGCCAGAGGAGCAGGAGTTCAGGACCAGCCCAAGACCTTGTCTCCATAAAACCTTTTAATATTTTCTTTAAATTAAAATGTATACATTTATTTTAACTAGAAATATTAATAAATTAATAAGTGATACAGCTCTTCATCCAGTGGGTTTTATTTCAAGTTCTGCCAGATTGCAGACGAGTTTAAGATCGTTCCTTTTCCAATTCATCTTCTAAAACCGTCAGTGAGTGTCAAAGCCCAGGCCAAGTCCTATGACATCATCTTATCGGTGACTAGATAAACTGAGTGTTCACAGACACAGAGATCTCTGGCACGGGTTTGTGCAACTGGTGAACTGATGCGTTTGCAGGCACATAAATATTTAACCTCATCTGTAATTATGGTAGAGCAATGAGATTCCACTCAACAAACACAAATTACATAGCCTTTAGGAAGTTCATCACAATTGTGTGACCACTGGGCTTAAACGAAACATCTTTTTGTTTAACTGAAGTCTTAGGTCAAAATTATTGGAACCTACCCTAATTTAAAATTTTGGAAAAGTTCATTCCACAGAGAATGTGACAGTGGTGTCTTTCCCATGAGTTTTGTCATTGAAGTCTCCTGGACAAGGCTGGATCTCGGCAGGAGGTTCTCATTATTTACCCACTTGACTGGGAAATTATGCAAGACTGTCTAGGGAACCAGGGTCTCCAAAGGACCATGTCCCCAGGAAATCCAGGGCTATTGAAAGGAGAAGTCTGCTTCCCTCAGCTTCCAGCAGCAACAGGAGATGGCAGGTCACAGATCTTACTATACATGCACAGCACTCATCTGGGCAAGGGGAACCTTGCCCCGCAGGCCTCCGGGCACCACTCAGAGGAGCAGGTATGGGGGACAGCCTGGACATGTAGGTGAAATGGTGTTCAGGAAATAACACGGTATGTCCTCTAGTGTCGGTCCAGCATCCCATACTTTCTGTTATGTTTGTGGTTTTGAGTGTTAGATTTTAAAGTTATACTCACCCCTGCGTGTTATACCTAATGGTCACAGCCATTTCAGCCTGGACTCATGCTCTATTTATATGAAAGAATAGGTAAGTGCGCCTCAACTGGCCAGCAAACAAAACCGTAATAGCAGAAAAGTGACTCCAGGAGGTCACTCACTTTACTATATGCAGGACTGCAAAGATCAGCGACATTCTTGATTCTATGGACTTCATATAATTTAGAGGGGAGTGACACTGTAAGAGCTGAGGTCACACATACGCCCCAGGGCTTCAGAACACAGCATTCGGGAGGCAGAAGCTTTCCTCCAGCCCAGGAGGAGTGAAGTCACATGGACATTTGGAAGCAGGCACCATTCAAGGGACCTGTAGTTTAGGAGGTGATAAGCAGATCATTTCTGAAGCATGCTGTGCACTGGGGTGTGTATTGTGGAAGGGCGTCAGGTGGGTGGGGACCCAAACCGACTTCCCATCAGTATATTTTAGTACATGCCACTTTGGAGTCGCTATGGTCTGACCATTCCTCCTCAAGTTGAAATTGTTCTTTAAAAACGTGTTTCTGTTCATTTTAATGAGTCTAGTGGTGACATACTTTCTGCAAAGCAAGAGAAAGCTGGGGTACGAAAGGACTGTTTTTTTTTTTAAAGACATCGTTGTTGATTTGCCAAGAGAATTTGTGAGCATAACCATGCCTCAACAGTTCTTCCCTCACCCCCATCCCCTTGAGGACACTCCCATCTAGGTGGATGGAAGGTCTTGGCTCATACACACACAACACCTGGGAGGACACTCCTGATAACATGTGTGAAGATTTAAACATGTCAGCTTCAGACGACTTAGAAATGCAGGGCCACATGAATATGACATGTCCAGGGATTTTACTCAAACACATAAGGAGAAAGCAGAAGTAACCAAATATAAACTACAACAGAAAGGAAGAACCCATGTGGCCAGTCAGAGAACAGCTCATGCCCAGGGGGTGACTAAGCTGAGTGGTGGCCACTTCCTATCTATGCTCTCAATATGATCTCCCTGTGGGGTAAAATTTTAGCTCAGCTACCTTTTTGGCTACTGCGGATGGGACATGAGGGGCTGCCAAGAAAGCATGGTGGAGATGTCCAAGAGAGACAGTGGCACTTTCCTCACAGGGCAAGCAGTGTAGAACAGAGGGTAGATAGGAATTGGGAATATTTACGTCTGGAGCTAGCTGATATAACAAAAGAATCTAGTACTGAGTCTGAGAGACACAAAATCACAAATCCTGCCCGGAGTAAGTGGGCAGAGGGAGGTGAGATACTCCTCGGTGAGGTGGAAGACCATGGGCACTGAGGGAGACGTGTGCGCTGCCAAAGGCAGTAAGGTGAGTCCGTTTATGTGGAGACTCAGATGCTAATTCTCACCAGACATGTAAGCGTGCGTTCTAAGTACAGCGCTTGTCAACACAAACCCCGAATTTCGCTTCATGCATGGACCTGGAAGTGAAGAGCCAAGACAGGATTTAGAGTGAAGAGGAAGAGGCCTCCGGCTTCTATTCCCAGAACCACAAATAAGTAACTAGTTAGAAGGATGCAAGAAGCAGAGAGATGAGCTGACTGAGAGGCATGCAGCCAGGTGGCTATGCAGATGCAGATGTGGAGGCTGGCAGGGAGCATGCGCTTCTGGACATTGAGTGACCAGTGGGCCAGGAAGAGGGAGAAATCAGCTAGCTGTGAGATGCTGAAGACAGATGAAGAGGATTAGGAATGAGGACAGATGGGGGGGGGGGTCAGGAGGGACATGGCAGAGGCCCTTGAGGAGCAGAGATGGGAGGAAAGCCCTGTGGATAAAAGAAATCTGAGGACTAAGTCCCTCTGGATAAGACTACATCTTCCGGGAAGGTGTTTGTGGAAATGAGGGAACATAAGCCGTGTTTGGAAAACACTGACTTCCAGACCCTTCTTCTCTGTGGTGGAGTGTGTCACCTAATAGGTAAGAAGAGACTTTGTGGGAGTGGGAAATAAATTAACTGATCACTCAGCTACATGTACACTCACACATGCTCACACATATCCACACTCACACACACGCACGTGCTCACACATACGCACACATACACACACAGTAAACTGTCAGTGAAACATTATTTAAGAGTGAATAAACTTTCCCAGGATCTCAGAGAGTGCGTTCTCTTTCCTTTTCAGACAAGAAAGACATTTTCTTCCACATATTCATGATTTTAATAAAGGTTTGTTGTTTTTATCCGTTTCTGAGATTGTTCAGTGTTATCGATGTCAAACATAAACGTATACATTTCAGGTAGGAGAATTTATTCTCGATGTGTTGTTACGAACCAGAACTCTCATTCTGTTTACCTCCCTCATCATTCAGACAGCTTGCCTCCTTCTGTCCCTAAGTGTGTGTGCTACTTCCTATGTGTTTTTTCCTTGTGTCTTTGGAGCTGAGACTTTCAGTATTTCATGAACGCCAAAGAAATGGGACTCGATCTCTTCCCAGGATTTGACATATCCTTTCAGCTTGTTCCTTTAAATGTGGGTACAAGCTGGGTGTGGCAGTGGGCACCTGTGATCTCAGCACATGACTGGTTGAGGCAAGCAGATGATGAATTCCAGGCCAGCCTGGACTACCTAGTGAGACTCTGTGCCCCCAAATTAAAAAGAGAAACCCAAATAAACAAAATACGTTTGTATAGCTGAAAGCTGGAATTAACACATTCGTCCCTCTGAAAACCTGCATCTGATGTTAATTGTCAATTTGATATCTAGATGATCAAACGGACAAGCCTGTGGGCATGTCGGGGAGGGAGTGTCTAGATTAGGTCAGCTAGGTGAGAGGACTCCCTGACTGACAGCATTGCCTGTGATCGGGAGTCTTGGATTAAATGAAAAGGAGGAAGCTTGGCAGGGAGCTCAGCCTCCCGTCCCCCTCTCTCCTTCTTGATTGTGGATACAATGGTACCAGCTGCCTCATGCTCCTACTGCCATGCCCTCCCCACCATGCCCTCCCCACCATGCCCTCCCCACCATGCCCTCCCCATCTGCAAACTGTGAGCCGACATAAACCCTTCCTCCCAGAAGTTGCATGTTGTCCGACAAGTAACCAACACACTATACAATAGTTTCAAACTATTCCAGACAACCAAAGTTGCAAATGCTTTATGCCTTGCATATACCATGTTTTTCAAAATGTGTTCTGCCTTCGCAGAAAATGGGACCCCAAAACCTGTCCAAGGTCACTGAATTTCAGCTCTTAGGATTCCAGAGCCTTCTCGGGTGGCAGTCCCTCCTCTTTGCCATTTTCCTGTGCTTCTATCTCCTCACCATCACAGGCAACATGGTGATCATCGTAGTGGTGAGTGAGGACCTGCGCCTGCGCTCTCCCATGTACACGTTCCTCCAACATCTGTCCTTCCTGGAGATCTGGTACACGTCTACCACTGTGCCCCTGCTGCTGGCCAACCTGGCCTCCTGGGGCCACACGCTGTCCTTCCCCGCCTGCATGGCCCAGCTCTACTTCTTTGTGTTCTTTGGTGCTACCGAATGTTTCCTCCTTGCCGTGATGGCTTATGACCGGTACCTGGCCATCTGCAGTCCACTCCACTACTCCCTGCTCATGAGTCCGGACAACTGTGCCGCTCTGGTCACAGTCTCCTGGGTGACCGGGGTGGGCACCGGCTTCCTGCCTTCCCTGATGATTTCTAAGTTGGACTTCTGTGGGCCCAACCGCATCAACCATTTCTTCTGCGACCTCCCTCCATTAATGCAGCTGTCCTGCTCTAGTGTCTATGTGACGGAGATGGCCATCTTTGTCCTGTCCATCGCTGTGCTATGCATCTGTTTCCTTCTAACCCTCCTGTCCTACGTTTTCATAGTGTCCTCCATTCTGAGAATCCCTTCCACCTCTGGCAGGATGAAGACGTTTTCTACATGCGGCTCCCACCTGGCCGTGGTCACCATCTACTATGGGACCATGATCTCCATGTACGTGCGCCCAAATGCACACCTGTCACCAGAAATCAACAAGGTCATTTCGGTCTTCTATACCGTGGTCACTCCACTGCTGAACCCAGTTATCTACAGCCTGAGGAACAAAGACTTCAAGGAGGCAGTTAGAAAAGTCATGAGAATGAAGTGCGGTGTCTACAGAGCAAAAGTGAAAGGCAGTGGCCTCACTCACTAGGGACCCCTGCACACACAGTGCTACCTGGCTCTGCACGGGGCTTTGTTTCTCATTCATGCAGCCCGGGTGCAGTTTCAGACACAAAGTCTGGTGTTATTCGGTAGCTGTACAAAGAATGAACGAATAGAGATGAAGATTTGAAATGTCCTTGTGATAAGAAAGGATAAGTAAGAACTCTGCAGTGCCAAGCATTTCTTTTTTATATGACTCAGAATTTTAAGGTGTTTTGATAAACGACAATCTAGAAAAGAAAGAAACAAAGAAAGAAGGCAGGGCAGAAGATTTACAAAACTTTATGTCTTGGGGTTCACGTCTTTACTCACTTTCCTGTTTTTTTAATTCAGATGAAATTTAGGAGATCTGGGTTAGTCTTGGCCAGTGATCCGTTCATTAACCCTGCAGATATTGTTAATCCCTTGACTTGTACCAGGTCTGGGTTACAGTTGGACACGATACACAAAAGTTCAGGGAAGGAAGACATTTCCTTAATGGATGCTCTGCTCTGGAAGAGAAGAGAAATGCATTAAAAACAAAACAAAGCAAAAACTCAAAAACAAAAAAACAAAAAACGGCACAAAGAAACTCTTGACTTGAGTTTGCTAGAGGTGACCACTGGGAAACAATCAAACAAGCTGGTACTGGAGATGGAAAAGGGATCAGCACATGGGCTTAGAACAGCGAGATTCACGGGGCTTCAACCTCCACTTCCGGATGAGAAGACGGAGAGGAGCAGCCAGGCGGAGGACAGGCACTGAGGACAGAAGAAGGCGTGGAGGAACCCACAAGTCCAGATAAGCATTTGGAGAGGGGGCAGGACTCGACTGTACAGGTTCAAAGTCGAGCAGAATTTTTAAAATTCTGTCTAAACGATCACTGAAGGGTAGCATATATGCAACTGAATGATAAGCTTTACATTTAAAATTCTCAGTGATGTTTAGCAAAAGAGAACCCACAGAACTGTTAGGGCCACTGCAGCAGCTCAAGACAGGGAGGAAACTGGCTTGATTTTAGGTTTCACAATAGGGCCCACCAAAGGAAGTATGCTGGTGGAGAATGGACACAAGAGATCCAAGTGGAGAAAAAGCCAGAAAGGAGCTTCAGAACATGAATCATGAAGAAAAAGGAAACCTAGCCTGGAGGCAGAAGTGAAGCATCCATGGCG